AACTTAATGTCACTTACCATCTTTTGGATAGTTTGGAAGGAGAGGAACAAAAGGACTTTTGGTAGAGTTGACAATGTAAATGGTTTTGATTTACTTAAAAATAGATGATTTCAGACCCTTGGATTTTTGTTATTGAGTTATCATCTTTATTTGATGGAGGATTTTAGGGGACCTAATTAATACTTTGGTAGATATGTAAATTTTTTTGTAAATGGATTGGCATCCCTTTAGTGCTGATATGAATACTATACTTTGCTCTTTGTATTACAAAAAAATTAAGATGAATCAGGCGCTTAAGGGAATATAGATGTGGAGATTTATGAAAGAAAGGAGTACACTATAGAGGTGAGTTATCGAGGCTAAATTTCATACGACGGATAGATGGAAGTGCTCAGGCGTTTGGCTAGGTTGCATGGAAAGGGACTATAGAAAAAGATATACATGGGAAGAGATAAACTTCGGGAATGTATCAAATGGAGAATCAGGAATGGGAAGAGAGTTGGTTTCTAGACGAATGTTTGGATTGAAGGGGAAGTGTTGAGAAATAGGTTCCAATAGATTTTTGCCGTCTTAAGATACAAAGATATCCCTGTTAAAGAGGCTTATAGAGATAAAGAAGGAGGAAAGGATTGGCACATGAAGATTTAGAGGAATCTCAATAATTGAGAAATTAATAAATAGAAATCACTGTTGAGCTCATTTTCTTCTATACCTCTAGACGAGAACTATGACCAACCGGTTTGGTCTTATAGTTCAATAGAGATCTTCACATTTGGTTCTTTTTATATACATTTGACCAAGGAAGAGCCCAATGTGAATAATTTTCCATTCAGATAAATTTGGAAGGTGAATGCAACTCCGAAGGTTGCTTTCTTTGCTTGGGAAGCAGTTATGATGTATTCTGAGTATTGATACGTTGATGAGAAGGGGGAAGATCATGGTAAATTGGTGCTACTTATGTAAGACGACGGAAAAGAGTTGTGACCATATTTTACTTTGGTGACCCATAACGTATAGTCTATGGAAACAGCGTATGGGATTGTGGGGTACAGTTTATTATGATTGTTAGTGTAAGAGATGAAATTTGGATATGGAAGGGTATTACAAGTCGGAGAAGACAATTGGGGCTCATTCCACTTGCAATCTTTTGAGTTATATAGAAAAAAAGGATTAGGAGAACATTCAATGGGGTGAAAGAGGATTTTGTTAAGATTAAAGTGAGATGGTTCCAGAGCCTAGACTTTTTGTTGTGTGCCAACCTTTGTATTCCATGGAGGATTTTGGTGATTTGATCAATATCTTTGTTGATATGTAAATTTTTTATACATGAGTTTGCACCTCCTTGATGCTTGCATTTAATGATACTTTATACTTTTTTACCTGAAAAAAAGATTTGCACTTGGAAGGGCAATCATGGATTAAAATCTACAACGAGTCCTGGCCTTATCCCTTTGGCTATGCTTTGGGTCATATGGGGAAAAAAAGAATAGGAGAACTTTTGAGGACATTGAGTGGTCTTTTAATAGACTGAAGGATTCTTGGTTTCAAACCATAGATTTCTTGATTAGAAGTCACTCATCTATTTTTATGAGTATTTAAAAGACTTAATTGACTTGTTGATAAAATTGTAAAATGTTGATACAATGGTTGCACCCTCTCGGTGCTCTTAATAGCATACTTTATATTTGGCCAAAATATGTTATTTTTTTATAAATAATTTGGCCAAAATACGTTATAAGCCACTATACTTTTATTTCAACCTTGACTCCCATTAGGGAGCCATTAATGTCTAGATACATGACTGATGATGTCTTAAAAACATGACACATAAGTGATTACGTAGTGCATGACGTGACAGTCGCATTAGATTAGAAACTCAAAATTTTATTTGGGTTTTCCGGTTCTTTTGTTTCTTCTTGTCATCTTCTTCCTATGAATCCTTGTACTATTTGAGAACAAAGGAAGGAACCGTGGAATTGGGGAACACAAATGAAATTTTGAGTTTTTTAATCTGATGTGTCTACTGCGTCATCGCTTATGTGTCATGTTTTTGACACGTTATTGGTCACGTGTCTAAACCATTAACGGTTCTCTAACAGCAGTTAAGGCTATGTGCTATCAGGATAAAATTTGAAAATACAGGGTTAAAATAGACCAAAAAATTGTACATGGGCTTAATGGAGAAAATCAAATAGTATAAGTACTTCCAAAGTATTTTATCCTTTATATTTAAAAAAAAAATTTTCCTGTGGAAATTCTTACACAAACTTCTTTCTGCCATAAAATAGTGGTTGACAACACGTGTGCAGATATTGAAATTAGCAATAGGTTGAATAACACTATGTCAAGATAGTTGATGATGTTCAAGTTACCGACAACTTGTAGCAACATGTGGGCCTGCAATTTATTCCAGGTTTGATTCTTAGGTTAGGTTTTAGGAGAGTTATAAGTAATTAGTAATTAGAAGTGAGTAGTGATTTTTGCCATAACACATCTGTAGGTTAATATGGGGAGAGACTATATCATTTAGTATCCTTTCAGTTAGGAAGGTGATGTTAGTTATGGTCCCACGTTATAAGTGTCTGGCAGTGTGAGAAGTTGAGGCAATTATGATAACTGGGTGTTAGTGACCTGGCAGGCTATGTGTTAACATTGATATTTGCTGGGGCCTTTGGCTTTCTCATAAGTTAGTGAACCAATGACGAAAATTGACTTTATCACATGGATTTTACCTGCTTAGTCATCATTGGCTCTTCCCTTTTTCTAATCGGAGCGTTTCTTTTAGTGTCTTGTAAAACAAGGACTATCTGTAGTTCTATATTTGTTTAAGATTAAAAGGTTGGTATCTTTATGCATTGAGCAACATAGAGGATAAGCAAAATTTTGCAACTTTTTCTTTTTTGCATCTCCTTTTCTTTAGAGAGAACTTGCTCTTTATTGTTAATGAATTGTAAATAATATGCAGTCACTTTTTTTTTTTGAAAGAAAAAATTAATCTTTTAACCGTGCACCAAGCGGGTGCTGTCCCTACCCAAAGTAGAGGAATTTTTTCTGTTAATTAACTAGAAATATAACTGCTATGGTTTATGGTTTTCCTTTGCTCATAATTGTCTTTGCACTCAATTTTGCAGCTAACAATGCCTGGTGACCACCGTTCACGTCTGATAAAGTTGGTTAGTATGAGAATTTATTCTTCTATGCATAATAACAGTTGGTTTCTAGTTTGTAAACAATGGATAATATGCATGAAACTACAAGGACTCTGGTTTACAGCCTTATAGGCACAAATTGGGTGATGGCTGGTTCGGTCATTAGCGAATTAAATGCTTGGGAGTGGCTTACTGGTTCTAGCAAATCTGCCCACCTCATCCATCTGTCCATTATGTGGACTATTTGGAAAGAATGCAACAATAGAGTTTTCAATGGAAAGGAGAATCTTTTCACCAACTTTAAGGATAGATGGTTTCACTTTTTTGTCTCCTATATTTTGGAACACAATATACATAGCTTAGAAGACTTCGGAGCGATTGTAGATATGCTCATTGATATGTACATCTTTTATACATGAGCAGCACTCCCTTGGTGCCTTTCTTAATACACTTCTATACTTTTATCTCAAAAAAAAGAAAATGAATGAAGCTACAAAATCTCGATGTGGTATTGCTGGTAGATGTCCTTTTTTTTTAGGTAGGAGTTGGGATACTATTATTATGTGACATGCTGATGGTCTTGTCTTCTTTGTCTGCTTTATATATTGTTTTTGTTCTGTTACTCTTTCCTTGTATTCTTGTTGGATAACTTATCTGCCAATATATTTGTATTGTTCTTTCTCTTATCAATACAAATAAGAACCATTCATTCATATAAGGAATTGAATATGTCCCTCAAAAGAATGTGAAGAACATTGATAGGGCTCATTAACCGCCCTATGATTCTCAGGAACTCGAATTGTGTCCCTAGCTAAGATATGAGGAGCCTGATTAGATGATCTAAGAATAAAAAAAGATAAAAAATAAGTAAAAGCAAAATGCCTCATTTTTCTTAATGGTCCTGATTTAGTAGTTTCTATGTCAGAAAACTCTCCAAAATGGTTTCCCTTGCATATATTGCTTCTTGGTCTTTTATGTTGTGGAACTCACTTTCTCGTGTTCGATCTATTAATCTTTTTTCTTAGCTTGCTGCTTTTCATTCTTAGTGTCATTCTTTGGTATTTAAAAGCTTTCTTGTTGATTATTTTAAAAAAGATTTCTTGTTGATATTTGGCTTGTGTCTGACAGAGCTATAACAATCCACCCAATACTATATGGTGATATAGCACGTAAAGAATTTCTTATGTTAAATTGATATCTGAAGTTTTTTAAAAGATTTTTACTTTTTGTTCTTTGTGTTTGACTTGGCACTAATAGCCCCAAGCAATGGTGCCTGGAAAAATACTTCAGAAATCTAAAGCCTTTCCTAGAGCTTTTTTTTTGCTTGGGAAGCAGCTAAGGGTCGGATCCTCACTTTTGATGATCTAATGAAAAGGGGGTGGAGTCTCGCCAACAGATGCCCCATGTGCAAACAGAACACTGAAACTTGCCACCATCTTCTTCTGCCCTACTCTGTCACTCGCATGTTATGGTCTATGATCTTCAATCTCCTTGGTATTCATTGGGTCACAACGGGGTTTGTCAAAATGAACTTCTTGCCTGGGAAGGGATCAGATTGAAAAACAAGCAAGTCAAAATTATTCCCTTGACTGTCTTCTGAATTATTTGGAAGGAGAGAAACAATAGAACTTTTGAAGGAATTAAAACAGATTTTGTTACTATTAAAGATAAATGGCTCCACTATTTTGGATCAAATATTCTTGGTCACAATCTTGATAGCTGAAACAATTTTGGATCTATTGTACATATTCTTTTATATCTATAAATTCTACCTTGTACATGGGTGACGTCCCCTTGACGTCTCTTTCAATAGATCTATACGTTTATTTAAAAAAAAAATGGTGCCTGGCTTCCTTAACAATGGCATCTTCCTTTATCATTCCACTGTGTCATAGATACTTGTTGTATAATTGGACTTCTGGAGGTCATTTAAACCTTGTGATTTACTAATATGCACACTGTACATATGTATGTGCGTTGAATTTCTCTTCTCGTTTGTTATAGTGCTTTTTTTGACATTCATAGTTAATGACTCTGCGAATTATTATTATTTTTTTCCTTTAGGCGAAATGGCTTTCAGAATCTTCATTAGTCCCACTGAGGCTTTTCCAAGAGCGTTGTGAGGTCTGTTGCGGATATGATCATCGTTTTCTTGCTGTTGTTCGTAGATCTAGATGTCTGCTGAATATTTGATGTAAAAGAGCTATAAATGATAATTTCTTACTTTGCAGGAAGAATTTCTGTGGGAGGCTGAAATGATTAAGATAAAGGCTCAAGATTTGAAGGGTAAAGAGGTGCGTACATGCATCATGCTTGAATTTTGCTATCACAGTTATCTTTATTGACAGAAATATGTACTTCTAGGTTCTTCTCATCATATCATAGTAAACAGTGGTGAGATATGCATGTTAGGAAATGAAACTTACGGAAAATGTGCTCATGTGTGTATCCTGATGTAATTCATGTGTTCATTTTGTTTCTTATCTGACTTGAAGATCAATTGTTTAAAGTTGGATAGGTTTCTTGGATGAAGTTACAGATCGATTATGTAATTAGTAGTACTATTGATAGATATGATATAGAAGCTGAATAAAACTTATAGAATTATGTATATTTTGCGGACAGATAAAAGGAAATAATTCTATGTCAATCTTGATGTAACTTTTGAAGAATAACAGTTTGGATTGTATTTGTCACCATAAAATGACATGAACTTGATGATATCATTATCAAGGATCTCGAAAACAAGGTAACGTCTCTTGGCTACCTTCTTGATGTCCTCTATTGCCTTTGGAGCACTGCCCTTGCCTTTTCGGATACATTTGAGCTTGGCAGTGTATTTGGAGTGGTAAGACAAGGGAAGAAATTAGTCCCGCTTATCCCTTTGCCTGCCTTGTGGGTTAATTGGAAGGTGATATAGGGCTTTTGAGGCTGTTGCCTTCTCTTTTTTGAGAGTGAGCTACCCATGGTTTCGGATTTTTTTATTTTTTTATGTTGAGGTTTTATCATGTCTTATGAGGAGGATTTTGAGGGCTAATTGATAGTTGGACTGGATTTTAAATATCCTCACATGAGTGGCACCATGTTGCTGCCCTACTCAATGAGTACTTATTCCTTAAAGAAAAGAGACCAAGGTAACTTCCAACAATGTGAATTTAGTAGGTAATATCTTTTGAATGCACTATATTATAAAAAAAGATAATATTTAAAAATTCTGGGATTTTTGTGTCAAAGAGTACTTTTTATTGTCTAAAAGATTGTCCATGCAGGTTTTAATACACATAAATATGGTTATTTGATAACAGTAGTTCTTACTTTTTCGTTTTCATTTTTTTCCTTATATCTACCACTATCTGTGAATTTCATGTCTTTGTCTGGTTCTTAAGTATTTAATGTGTATTTGAATACAGAATACCATGCTCAGGGCTTTAGATTGATACATCTCTTTCTAAAAAAATCTCTTTATGAATTTAAATTCATTACTTAATCTTTATGGGAAATTCGAATAGTTATATAATCCCTCTAATTTTGGTAATGTAAATTAGAACGCATAGATTTTAAGGACAAAAATAGTTATTTTATAAAATTAGTTTAAAGATGCATATGATTTCAGGTTAGGGTGAACACACGGCTTCTTTATCAGCAAACAAAGTTTAACCTTCTTCGTGAAGAAAGTGAGGGATATGCCAAGCTGGTATGTTACACTTTACCTTTTGAAAGTTTCTGAATGTTTCTTGTTTAGTTTTTTCCTTTTAATTTTGTATTAGGTGTTGGATCTTTTTCTTCAGGAGAAATCTAGTTGTTGATATGATAGATATCTTGTTGTTCCTGATAAATATTGACGGCCTTGTACAGTTACTTTTTCATTGGCTCTTTCTTTATAGACAGTATATGGTTTTGTCTCTGTTTCCTATTACGAGAAAAGTGCTTAAGAGGTCAAACAACCTCGAGCACGGGTGGGTTGAGGATTGGATCTCTTGTGTGTTCCAATGAAGCATTATTGGCTAAGTGGCAACATAGACTTCTCAATTTTAGAGACAACCTATGGTGGAAATTTGTTATAGCCAAATTTGACCTTGATTTTGATTGTTGGTGCCGTAAGGTGGGTAGCAGTGCTATCAACCATAGCCCTTAGAGGTGGATTGTTAGAAGTGGGGTGTTTTCCATAGTGTTTAAGGCAAGGAATGGCATCATATTTGGTTTTGGCTTGATCCTTGGTGTTTATCATCCTTTGAAGCAATCTCTTTTCCCTCTAATTTTGTTGTTGCTCTGGGTGCGAGATGGTTTTGCAGTTTATGGCAGTGGAATCTAGTGGTGTCTTCCTCTCTTCCTTAAATGATTGGGAAATTGATGACTGGCCTTCCCTCCTTACTGCTAGGGATGACATCATCTTGATGTTAAGGGGAGCCTCGTAAAACATGACATTGACTCACAACGATTATATGATAACCTGAACTGCAATGGATCCGGGAGTATCGAACGCTATGCATGGATTAACTAGTTACTTAAAAATATTTTCATGAAGATAGAAAATTATTTATTTAGGTTAATAACAAATTCAACAAAATAACTTTATTATAATTCAAATAATTTTACGTAAGATTTGTGATGATCAGTATGCCTCCTTAAATGAGTTTTGAAAAAGAGTAATTTATTTGACAACCTAGCGGAGTAAAGCCCGTGCGAGCTACTTTGACATAGCAATTTCGTACAAACATCAGAATTGGGAGATCATCATTTTTGGCCCTTAAGATGGGCACCTCTTTTGATTCTTGGATAATTATTTTCAATGTTTGCGTTTGAATTTATTTTCTGTGGAGAGTTCTATCAAAAAATATATAGGTGCGTCGGATTCGAACAAGTTGTTTAAATTATAAAACTAGAGATAATCCACGTTGGTGCTGTCTGAATTAGTAACTGCCTTGTCGCCACCCAAACTTGAACTATTACAAGAGAATTGAAACGGAGCAGAGCGGGTCCATCTGGTTCACGTATTGCAAGTTTTGTTTTCCCATCTATACATTCAAACTCCCCCATCTGTACTTTTGACCATGGAGTTCGCTCTTATTTACCTTTCTTTGGAAGATACCATGATTTAAAGCATTAAAAGGATGAAAAGTTTCTCTGTTAAATCTTTTGACTTTCTTCTGTAGCTGCCTTACATTATTTGGACCAGTTCCCTTGGAAGCTTATTTGGAAATGAGGGCTGCTCCTATGATTACCTTCTTCTCCAAAGAGGCTGCTTCGGGCAGAGTGTTAACCCTTAACGACTTGATGAAGAGGGGCTGAGAGTTGTTAGATAGGTGTTTCTTATGCTAGGCTTGGTGTGTAACACCAAGCCATATTCTTCTAAGGTGCTTCTAAACCTCAAAGCTCTATGATTCTCTTCTTACTCTCCTTAATTTGTCTTAAGTTGTTAGCCGATAGGTTGAGGAGGAATTTGGATGCAGAATTTTGGCTACCAAGCAGAAGCAAAAGTTTCTCTTTGATTCCCCTTTCTATTTGCTAAGTAATTTGGAAAGGAAAAAATATAGAGCTTTTTTGAAAATTCCAACTCTCCCTTTTCTTCCGTCGAGAATCATTTGCCTCTGGTGAGATTTCTTTTCTAAAGAAGTGGTACCTCTTTGGTGCCCTTCTAATATTATTTATCCTTTTCTCGTCCCAAAAATTTTACATGTTTGGTCATCTCTAGGCTTCTTGTATGGAGTTCTATTTGGAACTTTGTGTGCTTCCCTTTGCACTTACGAGTTGTTTGGTTCACTGAATAGAGGTGTAACAGAGTTGGAATGGGATGACTATTGTGATGGGCATGATTATTATCGTGTTGATTATGTTGGTTGGTTGAATACAATTCTAATGGAATCATGATTGACATTATGTAATTAGGATTGATGCCTGGGTAATGAATTATGATAATAACCTCCTCCTGGATATCTTTTATTTTTGGTCAATTAAACCCTCAATTTCTATGATAAAATATCTAATGTACTTACAACTATACCAATAATTATTGAGGTGATTTGATATATTGATTAGTCATTTCATTATTTCATATAAAATATTATTTTTGATTTAGTTACATGATTAACATTTTATTATTCATTTTAAATGAATATGTTATGAATTTTCAAGCTTGTATAATTTTTTTGAGGTTTTTTATTGATAAATATAATTTAAGAGGAAAAAAGTTATATAGAAATTTGAAATTTTTATGTAATATTGATAGATTTTAATTATTCAACTATTTGTTGTTTTATTAGTTGTAAAAAGGCCTTGGTTTAAGATCTATTGGAGAGATGAACCTTGCACTCCGAGGGAAGTGGTTGTGGAGGTCTCTTATCGAGGAGGAGAAGCTGTGGAGGAAGGTGGTGCAGGCAAGATGGGTTGATTGGGAGAGGGAGAGAGGCAGGAGGGGAAGGTTTAGACCGGATGGTTTGAGTTTGTGGACGAAAATAAGGGATGGCAGTATGGTTTTCAGGAGCTGTGTGGGTTGTTAGGTGGGAAACAGAGAGGAGGTTCGGTTCTGGCAGGATGAATGGGTTGAGACTTCAAGTTAAAAGATCATTTCCCTAGAATTTATACTATCGCCAGTGATAAGGAGGTTAGGTTGGAGAAGGCATATGGGACAGTTGAGGGGTTAGGGCTTGGTGTGTACGGGTTAGTAGAAATTTACAGGATTGGGAAGTAGAAGAATATAGCAATTTACTTCTATGTTTGGCTAACATAAATTTGGCCAAAGAAAAAAATAAAAGGGTGTGGAAACTGGATGCCAAGAGGGGTTTCTTGGTGAAATCTTTCTATAATTTTTTATGCAAGAGAGAGAGCAGAGATAGCATGACAACACATTTTAAGCAAATTTGGAAGACTAAAGCTCCGCCTAGAATGACATTTTTTTGCTTGGGAAGCTGCTAAAGAATGTATATTGACTCTCGACATGTTAAAGAGAAAAGGTAACACTGTGGGGAAGGTAGACAAGGTTGGCAAAGGTAACAAGATAAATGTTTGGGAGAAAGATTGGGTTGGGGAAGGTGGACTTCTGAAGAGGTTTCCCAGAATTTATAATATCGTTCAATAAAAAAATATGACTGTTTTGGAGGCTTACAGGGTTGTTAATGGCAACATGGTTTGGTTAATTAATACTAAGAGGAATTTGAATGATCGGGAGGTTGAAGAGTTTGAAGACTTGATGTCTATTCTTGAATTTGCATAGGTGTCAGATAGTGATGAACAGGTGGTGTGGAATCTGGAAAAAAATAGAATATTTTCAGCCACTTCATACTACAAGTTCTTAAATGAGATGGGTACTGAAAACAGAAGACTGTTTCCTGCTAAGCCGATTTGGAAGATTAAAATTCCTCCACGCATTGCTTTTTTTGCTTGGGAGGCATGCTGGGAAAAAATCATTACTTTGGACAGGTTGAAAAGTAAAGGCAGGATTATTGTAAATGGTTGCTATTGCTGTTTCAAGGCTGAGGAAACTTGCAATCATCTTCTACTATGGTGTCCTACTGTTTCTAAACTATGGTGCTGGATTTATGGGTGGTTAGGTATCAATTGGGTTATTTTGGGTTTGGTTGGCTGGGAGATTTGGGCCTGGGATGGTTTATATGTAAAAAGAAACATTGCTAACCTTATCCCTTTGACCGTTTTTTGGTTATTTAGAAAGAGCGGAATAGAAGGGCTTTTGATAGCATAGAGAGTAGTTCTAATAGATTAATGGATAGATGGATACACTTGTTTGGGACAATTGTGCTTGGTCATAACATCATTAATGATGAGGATTTTGGGGATGTCATTGATACTCTAACTTCTTTGTAAAAATTTTGTGTATAGGTGGTGCCCTCGTTTTTGGTACCTTGTGAATAATACTTCACACTTTTTATTTCAAAAAAGAAGAAGAGAAAAGGTAATATTGTGGTTAATGGATGCTATTTATGTAAAGCTGATGAGGAATTGTGTAATCACCTTTTGCTGGTATGCCTAGTGACTTACAACATATGGTCCAATATGTTCAGGCTTATGGGGTTGAATGGGATCATGACAGATAGTGTAAGTAATGAACTATGGGCGTGAGCGGATTTTTGTAAAAAAGAAATAACATTTGTTCCTTGTTCCAGTTACCATTTTTTGTGTCGTTTGGAAGGAAAGAAATGCGAGAGCTTTTGAAAATAGAGAAACTAACTTTGTAAACATTAGGGATAGATAGATTTACACTTTTTGTTCTATTGTGTTGGGTCATGACATGAATGATTGAGAAGATATTGGTTTAATCATGAACCACTTGATTGATATGTAACTATTTTATATATTGATAGTACTGTTTTGATACCTATGTGCATAATAATATTTTACTTGTGTTTAAAAAAAAAAGGGCACTGTAGACTCTCAACAAAATGTAATAAAAGATATTATACTCATTATGAGTGAACGATAGTTGTATCCTAACCTCATGTACCATATAACCAAACATACTACTATTATAGTAAAGTTATTCTAAGTTATGGGTCAAACAACATAATGCAATCAAGATTCCGTTATGAACAAGATGTTATAGAATTTAAACGAGGGACTTTTTTCTCTAGAGCAAGTTATCTTGATCCAGGCATATCTATCCACATACCACTTATTCCTATTCTGTTAGGTACTTGAGGGGTTGTGTGAGAGTAGAGGCATATGAGAGTTTC